GGGGGGTAGGGGGACAGAGTACCAGGGATTGAACTCAGGGGCACCTAACCACTGAGCCACATCCCTAGACCCATTTTGTATTTAATTTAGAGACAGGGTCTCACTGAGTTGATTWGTGCCTTGCCATTGCTGAGGCTGGCTCTGAACGTGCCATCCTCCTGCCTMAGCCTCCTGAGCTTCTGGRATTGCAGGCGTATGCCACTGTGCCTGGCCAAAACATGTATTTTTAAATGTAGTCTATTATAACTGTGTTTCTAGGTAAATAAATAGGGGTTCTCATTTTTCCATCCCAGCACTAAGTGTCATGTGTCCCAATAAAATAAGATTCATAGTCAGGCATGATGGTGCATGCCTATAATCCCAGCTACTCAGGAGACTGAGGCTGGAGGATCCCAAGTTCAATACCACCTCAGCAATTCAGCAAGGCCCTAAGCAACGTAGTGAAACTCTGTCTCAAAATAAAAAGGGCTAGAGATCTAGCTCAGTGGTGGCCCTGCTGGGTGTACTCTTCAGTACCAAAATAATAATTACTATTTTAAAAATTTGAAAATTAAAAAAAATCAATACAATTAATAAAACGTAGTTCTTATAAAAACAAATCTGCTTATTTGAAGTTTTTTTCTAGAACATCTTTTATCTTACCTCATACTATGATGTTTCTATCCTTTTCTATCCTTTACACATTTACTTAGACTAATTTATAGAGACCAAAAAGGGAAATAAGAAATGTCATATCTAATATGTACACTTTAATGAATATATTTAATTTTTCAATTGGACACTACTATGATGAAGTAGCTAAGAGTACTAGCCCTCCATCAAAGTGGAAAAAGGGGAAGAGCTGGGTTTTGGAGCCCAGCCATGGTTAGCTGGACATCCATGTGTCACCACAGCCCATTACAGGGATGAGCAGAGCCAGAGCAAARTCAGAACGATATTTTGCAGGGGAGTGGCCAGGGCCAGATTGGTTGAACACAGAGAGATTAATCACACAGATGAATCTATTAAAGAAAATGGAAACCAGATTTTTCACTTGTGAAAAGGAGGTAACAAATTATGGAAATGGAGAAAACTGAAATTAACCTGTAGCCTTGGACTGAAATCACAGTTATTGAATAATTGATAGTTAAATATTGTATTTGTTTTTCAGATTTGATTTTTTTAAGGTAAGATAGGTTACTTAGTCATGGAGGAAAAACAGTTTGTTGATGAAAACCTTTATACATTTATACATTTCAACATAAATAGAGAAGAAAATATAAATATAAATGTGTGCATGCATCCATCCATGCACATTTACATAACTTCACAGTCCTGCCCAAAAATAATGAGCATAATTAGTTTCATATTTTGACAGCTAAATAACATCTCCACTAAAAGGAGTCAGAGGTATATTGAGAAATTATTGATTCCAGGGGTAGGGCAGAGGTAGTGCAAGATGAATCTGAAAAATCAGTCTATGTCAGAAAATAAGAACATATACAAAGATTGATAAAGACATGTCAAAAGACAACAAAACTGACTTGAGAGCACTTGTGGTTACATCCTGGGACAATTTCTATATCAAAATGAGACTTAGTTGGGGGTGATGGCTCCTATCTGTAACCCCATGTCCTGGGAGACTGAGGCAGRAGGATCATAAGTTCAAGGCCAGCCTGGGCAATTTAGCAAGACCCTCAGCAACTTAGTGAGACCCTGTCTCAAAATAAAAAAAGACTTATCAGAGAGAACATTTGGCCTTTGCATGGAAAAAATGGAGGAACTTTTATTGGGCAAAGGGGAGGGAGGGATGGGAAGGGTGCATGGGGGCAGAAAAGATGGTGGCATGAGATGGATATCACTACCCTAGGTACACGMAAGACTGCACATATGGTGYGACGCTACATCGTGTACAACCAGAGAAATTAAAAGCTGTGCTGCAGTTGTGTACAATGAATCAAAATGCATTMTGCTGTCATATACACCTAATTAAAATTAATTAATTAATTAATAATTTAAAAACTTAAAAGAAAAAATAAAAAGGACTAGGGATGTACTCAGTGATTAAGTGCCTGTGGGTTCAATCCCCAGTTTAAAAAAAAAAAAAAAAGAAGAAGAAAGAAAGAGAAAGAGAGACTTACAAACCACTTGACAAAAATAAGAAACCATACTAAGAACCYAGTTTATACTACAAAATAAATAAAGTTTAATGAGAAATTGAATATTAGTATAGCTCCAAAGAAACTCACCTCAAAACACTAACAAAGAAAAAATAGCTTCACAATGGAGAAACATAGAAGACACCATTTAATTAATTATATAAGTAAACACTACCAGAATAGGACCTATCAAAGTTGCATGCCACTTGATGAGATGCAATGAGAAGAATACAGAATCACTCCTGTGTTATGMATGCCAAAAATTCATCATCTGAATCTAATCATGAGGAAATAGAGGATAGGCACAAATTGAGAGACAGTCAACCAAATAACTGGCCTATAATCTTCAAAAAATTGAAAGTYATGAACATCAAGGTAAGAAATGTGGAACTATGCCAAATTGAAATGGGCTAAAGAGACATAATTTCTAAATGGAGTTTGCAATTCTGAACTGGATATCCTTTTGCTATAAAAGGATATCATGATTTAGATAACTGACAAGACTTGAATGAAGTCTTAGGGTTTSATGGCAATCATGTATCAAATATTAATTTTATGATTTTGATTAAGAGAGARAATGCTTTTGGTCATAAGAAATCATCCCTGAGTATGCAAAGGACAATAGGATTTGAGGTCAGCCCTTAATCTCAAATGATTTCAAAGAACAAAGAGTTCTTTATCTTTCGTTAGAAATCAAAGACCGAGGGCAAGTTATTTTGTCTTTCTATCTCAGTTTCTCATTTACATTGCAGGCATAGTAATTAATTGCAGGCATAATGACAGTATCTATCTCCTAGCATTGTTATAAGATTGTTATAAGGGATGGGGATGTAATTTGTCAGTGGTACAGCATTTGCCTCACATACATGAGGCCCTAAGTTCAATCCCCAGTACTGCAACAAAAACTAAAAAGAGATTGTTATAAGACMGTGAAGGGGCTGGGGATGTGGCTCAARCGGTAGCGCGCTCGCCTGGCATGAGTGTGGCCCGGGTTCGATCCTCAGCACCACATACCAACAAAGATGTTGTGTCCGCCGAGAACTAAAAAAATAAATATTAAAAATTCTCTCTCTCTCTCTCTCTCTCTCTGTCCTCTCCTCTCTCACTCTCTCTTTGAATAAATAAATAAATAAATAAATAAATAAATAAATAAAAGACAGTGAAGGTGAAGTGCTTATTTTCTGCTCAGTAAGTGTTGGCTGTTCTTTGAGCACCTTTACATATTAGCTACAATAATAGTATGAAAATTATGGTGACTGACATTCTCATTTCTTCCTATTTTGGCCTCTTTCAATCTGCTTTCCCTTCTGCTCTCCTTTCCTCTCCATGTTGGCCTTTCCATATCAACTCTTGCCTCTTCAACACAAAGCACTGTACTCCAAAGAATATTCAGTGTGAACCCAGATGGCTTAAGTTATAGTTCCTTGAATGATTATCATATCTTCACTGAGAGAATTTATAAATGAAAAAACAAATGTACTAAAAGTATACAAGATCTTAAGAAGAATGAAATTATGGCATTTGGCAGTAGATGGATGGAATTGGAGAATATTATATGACATGAAATAAGTAAAATAAGCCAATCCCAAAAAAACAAARGCTGAATGTTTTCTCTGATATGCAGATGCTAGTTTTCACAATGGAGAGCAGGGAGAACAGAGTACTTTGGACTAGACAGAGGGGAGTGAAGAGAGGGAAGCGGGTATGGAAGTAGGAATGACAATAGAATGAATCAGACATTATTACCCTGTGTGCAAATATGATTACACAACCTGTATAACTTTACATCATGTACAACCAGAAGAATGAGAAGTTGTACTTCATTTATGTATGGTGTGTCAAAATGCATTATATTGTCATGTATAACTAATTAGAACAAATAAAAWTTTTTTAAAAATTCAAGATCTTATTTTTATAGATTCCATAAAGCAAAAATTTTTATTAAGAAAAAAATTAATTATTTACCTTAGACTATTACTAAAGATAAATTAAATTCAATTTTAGTGAATATATAAGCTAAAATATAACATTCTCTTTCTTTTTATTCTTCATGAAATGGAATATATAAAACACTCAAAGAATTCATACATAATTCAAACCATCTTTTCCAAACCCTTAAAATTTAAATACACATCTGTTTTGCATGTAGTAAAACTGCTACTTTCATGTTACTAATTATTAAGATATTTATTGTCCAATAACATTCCCAATACACGGGACCACAGCTTTATACATARTGAACAGTGAAAAATGCTTAGCTAAAGATTGGTTTTTTTTGTGGTTGTTGTTAATTTTTTTTTTTTTTTTTTGGAACAGCAGCTGTGATTCTGATACTTTCAAACATCAACCTTCTCTGTAAGAGTTTCTAAGTTAGGATTTAGAGGTAGGGTGGGAGTGTATGTGTGTACACACTGTGTAGATCTCACGGACAAGTCCTGTAACTCCAAGTTTCAATAAATACACTTAACTCAGATTGAAGTACAAAATTCTGCAGAACTATTTAAAGAAAGATCTCAAATGAAGCATCAGAAGTGTCTTCCTCTAAGCAGGTCATAGTTTTGGATAGCCTGCTTCTTTCATGCTTTTAGACATTGTTCTATACTGTGGTCCACTACACTGAAAGCTAGTTCATGTGGGGTCTCAATATTGGAAATGAGGCAGAAAATAAAACATGATTCCTAAGTTAAGAGCATTTAAAAATGTCTTATTTAATATCTGAGTATAAATTCAAAGTATAAATCTAAGTATAAATCCTAAAAAATAAATAATACAGCCTTCCTTATTTTGCAGGAAATGCTAAGAGGAAATCTTATAAGTTTAAAGCTGACTGACTTTTTTTCCCCAAAATATGTCTAATTCTAGGCAACAAGTTCAAGGGTTGGTGTCTTAATGCAAAATGCAACCAACATGGGATTGTCCRTTATCATTTCCCTTGTATATGGATGGGAGATGACACTCTTGATTCTGAGCATTGCTCCAGTACTTGCTCTAACTGGAATGATTGAAACCGCAGTAGTGACTGGATTTGCAAACAAGGATAAGCAAGAACTTAAGCGTGCAGGAAAGGTAAAATGAAGGCTCTTATTACCAGTATAACATTTAAAAATAATAATCAGAGCTCCCATCTTTATAATATATCAACCTCATCTTTTAGGAATCTGTAAAGTGGTATGTTGTAGGTATGTGTGTATACATGCACACTCATACATATAGATAGATATACACACACACACAGAGACCAGACCAGTATAGAACAGGATATAGACAGGGCATGGTGATAGGGTCCATTACAGCACAGGATCTGGAGTCAAATTGGCTGAGTTAGAATTCACTTTATGTCACTAAAACATATGTGATATGAGCATGTTATGTGAACCTTTGTGACCTTTTGTTTTCTCCCTTGTAAATGGGAATAATAATAGTATCCACTTACAGATTTGTGTATCACACAAAATAGCATTAGTATATGGAAAACATTTAGAATAGTGGCTGCAAGACAGGAAGCACATAATGACAAAGGACATTATTAAGTACCCCCTCTTTCCCTCAGTGGTAAGCAAAACATTACTTTCCCAGTCTACCTTTAGATAACCCTGGCAGTAGGCAGTAATGGTTTTTTGTTGTTGTGTTTTGTTGTTGTTGTTGTTGTTGTTGTTGTTGTTGTTTTGGTGTTAGGGGTTTTGTGAGGTTTTGTTAGTTTGGGGCTTTTAAAATTTATTTTCGATGCCTTCTATCCTGCTCTTCTTGGCTTTCATCTTGGAAAAAATCCAAAAGCTGAGTTTCATGACAGCCTTTCAGAAGCTGTATCATGAAGATACTGAGTCTTCTCTAAGCCACATATTCCAGGGCTTAGGCTATTCCTCTCATGGTCTGGATACACAGGTAACCGTAATCATTTACCACAGTGGTGAACATCTTCTGAATATAAAAATGATTTAGACATCTTTATGGTCAATATCACAGAGACTGGAACAAGGCTGGAACAGTATAAAGACCACGAATGAGCAGGAATGCTGAGCACATGAGTGAGCTAATCTGTTGTGCCTGACCCTTGAACCTCTCCACTTTTCTTGTACTAGATAAGGACCCTGGAATGTCAGCTGAGTTATGCAGACTCAACTACTTACCAAATAATTGCCTCAGAGGCAGTAAGCAGTTATTTAGCCTAAATGGTATGATTTAGAAGTTGCACAAGTTCTAAATTCATGAAACATTAATTAGATTGTCCTCATCTTATTTTTTTGTACCATGAGCTTTAGTTACATATCCCCTTGACTTTTCTTTTGTATCATTAGAGTAACCTCAATCTATACCACCAATAACACCAAATAGTCAATCTGAGTTCTTTCCCTATAGCTTTCAGTAAGTAGTTTACCAAAGACAAATTTAGAATATAGACCAATAAAACATATTGGTTCTTCTTTAMTTATGTGTATAGATTTGAATAGGTCGTCAAACATTTTATTTTTCATACTTAAAATGGCTTTATGTTTAAAGGGTACAGTATTTTCTAGGTGTCTGTAAGGATCTTTCTCTCTTTGTCAAAATTAATCACAAAGGCTTTTCGTTGTTGTTCATGTATTTTCCCYCTCAAAGGAAATTTCAGCATTCGTATCTATCTTCCTTTGCATGCTACACAATGTGTTTTTAAAAAGCACTCTTTGCATTCATTTTGAAATCAATGAGAATTTTAAACAACTCAACATCAAAATTGAAAGCAGAATCCGGGTGTCCTAACCACAATTTAGAAATCTGGTTCTCTCCTGCAATCCAAATTGTCCTTCAAATAATGCTGGGTGRGGCTGGGGATGTAGCTCAGTTGGTAGCATGCTTGCCTAGCATGCACAAGATCCTGGGTTTGGTCCCCAGCATCACAAAATAAATAAATAATGCTGGGTATTTACCTGTCACACAACCTACAGAACCTACAGAGCCAGTCTAGGAGAAAATAGGAAGTTTCTCTTTCTAGCCAGTCTGTGTTTTCATGTTCAAACAGTTCTAAGCCAAAAGCCTCCTATGTTTGAGATCCCATGCTATTACACATTCTTTTTGAAAACTCTATAAATATGGGAAAGCATTAATTATATTTGTATTCGATATCTTTTTAAATTCACAGACATGAAAATGAGAAATGGCTTTATCTTATAAATAATTGTATAGCCACATCACATGATACTATTATGAAATGTTCCGGAGTCCTTTTTAGTTGTTATTTGCATTTCTGTTCTAAAATAAAACAATTATTTCTTTGATTCTCTCTGCTATCTTTTACTTGAATTGTTTTAAAATTTATAAGAAACCCCTTTGCATATGAACATAAAGCTCACTAATGTTATATTCCCCAGCCCATGGAACCAATTTAAACTGATATTCAATAAAGACTTGAAGAAGCTAAACTTGGTACACTAAATATTTTTTTAAAAATTTGTGCTTAAGCTTATTATCTGAAATGTAATTTTTGGATCTTATTTTTGGAGATGGAGGGAGGAAGGTAAGAATACTTGACAGAAAATCTTATTGACCCGATATACTTATAATGTCCCCAGTGTACGTGACTAGAATTCACTACCAAGAAAAGTATAAGCATTACTAACTTTATGTCCTTATTGTATTGTCCTATTTTATAAGATAGCAATTGAAGCTGTGGAGAACATACATACTATAGTGTCATTAACAAGAGAGAAAGCCTTTGAGCAAACATATGAGGAGACTCTTCAGACCCAACACAGGTGACTATCCCGACGCTGTTGACTGTGCTATCCTGTAACATCAGTGCTTCCCAATACTCTGGCAGTTTGCCTGGCAATCCACCTGCTCTAGAATCTTTCCTGAGAGTGGCCTATCATAATTTCTCACACAACTTTACTAAGAAGACATGAAGAAAACTCAAGGGCAAACACAATTAAAAATAAACATTTTAGGTYTTCCATGTCACTGAAGTATACACATCTGTCTTATTATCCAGAAAAAAAGACTCCAGGAAGTAACGTATTCAAGAAAGAAAGAGTGTACATCCCTTTACTTTAAATCTCTAGGATAGTTTATGTTTTAAAACAAATGTATAGGGCTGGGGTTGTGACTCAAGTGGTAGAGCACTTGCCTAGCATGTGTGAGGTGCTGGGTTCGATTCTCAGCACCACATATAAACAAAAAAAATAAAATAAAGGTCCATCAACAACTAAAAAAAATTTTCTAAAAATGTATTTACAGCAAAACCTGTTTATTAAACTACCCCCCCTTATCACACTGGCTTAGCGACACTCTGATTGCTTTATACACTTCTGCACTTGTGCCTGTGGTTGGTATCACCCTTTAATTGCCTCTATGTATTCTATTAAAGCAAGATTGTTGTAGATAATTAGAGAATATTTATTCATTTCTCTAAACTAAATTTCTTTACTATCCTTTCACAGACTTTATCCATTCATTTGGAAGTAAATGAAGACATCTTTGTTAAACCATAGAGTATATCACTATAGAGAAAATCATTTATCTCATGTCTTCTCTATAATAATTCTCAGTAGTAAAAAGAAAATCTCATTTATTTAATACTTAAAATACATATCCACTAAATGATAACGTTTCAAAGTGCTATATTCATTATGTTACATGTATTAAGTTGATCCAACTATAACTCATGCACCATTGTTTGGTAAATCATGCATTTCAGAAATACCTTGAAGAAAGGACAGATCATAGGAAGCTGTTATGCATTCAGCCATGCCTTTGTGTATTTTGCCTATGCAGCAGCATTTAGATTTGGAGCCTATTTATTTCAAACTGGACGAATGACACCAGAGGGCATGTTCATGTAAGTTGTGCATATACAAAAACCCTGTAAGTGGGTCATATTAACCAAAGGTATCTAGTTTATACAGAGAATTGTCATTTAAATCACATATGTGGGCAAGGTGTGCTTAGAAAACTTAAATATATACATATGTATATATATATATATATATRTRTGTGTGTGTGTGTGTGTGTGTGTGTGTGTRTGTAAATATATATGTATATATATGTTTGATTTTTAACTGGTAGAAAATTACTGTGCATATTATAAGTTTATGGGGTACAATGTAATATTTTAATATACGTTCATAATGTGGAATTAAATCAAGCTATTTTTGTTGCTTAATAGCTGTAAAAGTATTAAACTTTCTTTAAATATTTAATGGTAAGTGGGGGGATTGGGGTTRTGGCTCAGCAGTAGAGTGCTTGCCTAGCATGTGCAGGGCACTGGGTTCAATCCTCAGCATCACATAAAAATAAATAAATAAATAAAGGTATCATGTCCAACTACACCTGAAAGAAAAATTTTTTWWAAAAAATTAATGGTAAAATACTGATACCTATATAATACTAATAATCTAAATTGAATCCCCAAATGAATCACTCACAGATTTTATTTTCTAGAATGTGGGAATGCAGGAACAACATATGTCTTCATGATATCCACTCCTCAGGGAATTTGCAAGACTTTATGGAATTCCCAGAATAAAGATATCTTAATAATATTAAGTATGACTACAAATCAGTAAGGCTGAGTTCTTTGCTAAGTAAACATTTCAGAAAACAAAGCATATAAATGAGTGTTCCCCTTCAGAAAAGTCACAGTTGGGAGTTAATCATGATTGCCAGTGAGGCTTTCTTTCACAACACATTGGTTGAAGGTGATAGTTTAGAATTTGGTTCACCAAGTTATGAATTTCTTTACTTCATAGAAATAACCTAAATACAACTAACTGAAATCATAAATTCCAACTTTTAGTGTTCATTCTGAGTTTCCTATGTCTAAAATGTCAGAAATAGGAAGCTCAGAATGAACGCTCCAATTTGATGGCTAATTTTATTATAAATGTCATCATTAAACCCTTAGAGCTAAAGAAAATCCCCATACAATATTTGACTCAAAAAGTGGCATTATGCTTTTTCAAAAAGCTCACTGAAACATGTGCATCCAAGCAAGAATCAGCTTCTTCTGAATGATGACTTGGGAGATTATACCTTTCCCAAAAGGCTGCCACTTAGAAAATACCTGGGAACACCTCTCTGGGTGCTACCTCTCATGTCTCAGGATGTTCCTTTGAATACCTTCATTGGTGGCACATGTTTGCGTTTGTGGTCATGTTCCATTTGAAGAAACGGCCTGAGCTTGTTTGAAGCCAAATAATTTCAGAAAAACTTGGAATCAGTTTTACTTTCTAATCACATGAAAATATTTTCACTTATTAAGTGCAGACTAAGATTCCCAGGAAGTTTCTTTACTAGGCACTGATAAGAAAACAATCCACAGTTCACCAATCCAGTTTTCCTGCATCTTACCTAATGATGAGGTAAGATTAAGCAGTTTAGCAGAAAACAGTACTTAGCAGTTTCCTGAAGGGAGATTTTCTTGTACAATGGGATATCTGTATTTAAAATCTCAACAGAAAAACACAGGGTCCCTGTTCTACTTTGTTCTCCTAGCCTCTGAAACAATGGGCAGTGTTGCCCGTGTGAACCTATAAACAATTATGGCATGTAGCCCCGGGCTTCATTCTGATTACATAGGCTAATTAGTCAGATTAAGAAGAAGCCAAATCTGGCATCACATAAATTAATTTATTCAGTTCATAGGCCCCCATTTAATCAACAGAATTCCCTTGGTCGTAATGTCGTGCAGGCACTCCCAAGCTTATAAAAGTTTGATTATAAACCAATTGCTTGAAACTCAGAAAATGCCCTAGTGTTGCTCTAAATTTTCATACCTTCTCACATCYCCAGGGAACCATTCTTTCAGCACAACTGGTCTTGGGGACTAGAAAGCAAGCCAGTTAAACAGTCACAGCAATATAGGATGTCATGTGATTTTATAAACTCTCACAGAAGATGTTCAAGTCTTCTCTTCAAGTTCTCTGTCATTATGCTCTCTTTGCTTTATAATCACGTATCTTCAGAAAGAAAAGAAAAATCCTTCCCTTAAGGCCCCTCCTACCTATCTCCAAGGTCTTTGCTGTCCTTTGCAGCTAGATCCCAAATGATTGCTTGTTCTTGCTCTGGACACCTTCTCATCTCTAATCTCTCCTAAACTGCTTCTGGACAAGACTTATTTCCCACCACGTTACTAGAAAGACTCATGGCCAAGGTCATYACTGGCTTCAACTCCACTTCAGCCCTCAGGGGCATTTCATGAATCTTTCCTGAAACACTTTTCTTTCCAGGCTTCACTCCTTGCCTTACTGGCTCCTGTTCTCTGTTGGGCTCCTTCGTATTGAAGGGTGGAGAGTTCTCAGAACTTTCATCCATACGTTCTCATTGATGGTCTCACCCAGTCTGACAGTTTACCACAAAAGTCCCAGTAACTTTCTTCTCTTGTAGTTCCATCTCTGACCCTGTCCCTGAACATTAAACTCTTATCCAACTACTTTCTAGACACCCCCACATGGACRTCTAAAAATATCTTAATGTGTCCCAAGCAGAATTAAATTTTTTTAAACCACAAAACCAATGTATTGATTCATTAAAATAGTGTCATGACTTTCAATTAAAGTTTGAATAAATCAAAATTCCTTTCTGTGACCTAAAAGCCCCACATGATGGGGCTTCTGCCTTCCTTCCAACCTCATCTATCACTGTCCCTTTTGTGAAATACATAGCAGCCCCACACTGTCCCTGGAACTCCCCACCTCAGTGTCTTTGCACTTTGCAGGCTCTTCTGTTTACCTGAACGATCACTCCCCAGATCTGTGCCAGGCCTCTTTATTACCAAGCTTCCACTCCCACATCTGCTCCTCAGAGAGGCTTTCACTGATGAACCAAAGTGGTCCCTGTACCATTCCCTCCTCATCTTTCCCATTATTATGGTTTTTTAATAGCACATCACAATTTGAGATTGTCTTTTTTGCTTCTGTATTTCTTGTGGTCTTAGACTATCTTATTATTAAGGATATTTCCATAAATCACACAACAAGCGGTAGACACAGCACATATTAAATATTTATTAAATGAATAAGGGAATCAGAAATAAAGGGAGAAGGCTGGGGGTATAGCTCAGTGGCAGAGTACTTGCCTGGCATGCTTGAAGCCCTGGGTTTGATCCCGAGCAACAAAAAATAAAATAAGGAAAGTAGAAATATGCCTCCAGGATCAACTTGACACTGCTCCTGTGTTTCACAGATTTAAATTGTTTTTTTTTTTCCCTTTCTGTATCCATACATCTAACATCAGGTGTGTGAGCAGGAAGACTGATCCTACAATTATTTACATAAAAATATGATGTGTATAACTGGGAATCTCCTTCTTCTTGCACTGAAATTTGTCTGCATTAAAACTAAGCAGAGAGGGGCTGCAGATGTGGCTCAAGCGGTAGTGCACTCGCCTGGCATGCGTGCGGCCCAGGTTCAAACCTCAGCACCACATACAAACAAAGATGTTGTGATTTAAAATCATTAAAAATGATGTTTAATTTTTTAAAAATATTTATAAAAATAAATATTTTWAAAAAATTAAAAATAAATAAAATAAATAAAACTAAGCAGAGAATATTCTTAATTCAAAAATGATTCAATCTCAAAATCATGCCAATGACTTTCTTTTTAAATTTTTTTATTTTGTAAATGATCCATAAAACTTATGCATATTAATGTTATAGTACATGTATGCTTTGCATAATGTTTAAATTAGGTTAAATATACTCATCTCCAATATTTTCCATTCGTTTATGGCAAAAAACTTCAAAATTCTTTCTTCTAGCTTTTTAAAATTTACAGCACATTACTGTCACCCTAGTATGCAACAGCACAGAACTTCTTTCTCTAACTATAACTCAGTGCCCATTGATCAATATTTCCCTGTCTCTCCCCCTTCCCCACCTACTCCCCCATCCTCTAGTAACCAGGTTTGTCCCAGATACCCTGGTGATGTGTTTTCCAGAAAGAAACAGGAGAATACCTAAAACAAGTAGTCTGTCCCCACAATCTTCTCCCTGGAGCCAAGGTAGACCAGGTGCATCCTCTACAGTGACTGGCCTGTGGTCAGGTGCTGTGTGATTCTACCTGGTTCTGGTAGAGTCACCATGAGTGGACCAGCCTCAGCCATCTCTGGGCCAGCAATGCCACCAAGCTATGTCACATGTGACCTCATAGCCCACCAAGACCAGCATAACACTGGAGTGAGACCTGACTATTGCTGAAGTGGACTAATGGCCCAAGCCTGCAGCAGTTAGTCATAGGTGATGGTGGCCAGAGCAGAAATCCAATGAACCAGTGCAGATGTCTTCCCCGTCACTGGAGCTATCTCAGACATTCTCTTCACAGGCAGGCCTGATAGTGGGAGCTGATGGGATCTGCCCACTGTTAATATTTACCAGCCCAGCACTAAGTTTCTTGGCAAAGTTTTGTGCTCATACCCTGTTCTATCCCCAGTAAGTGGGATCTTTACCACTYTATGCTGCCTGAGTTTGGGTAGTTTTGGTAAAGGCAGTCTCGTGGCCACCCAGGCTGAGACTAAGCTGGGTCATACCTGAATCTCACAGCCCTAAGGACATGCACAGTTTTAAAGGTGACAGAGGACCACACCACAGCTGGCAGTGATGCAGGTCAAAACACAAGCTTGTCCCACGGAAGGGCAGGTGCCTGGCCATTGGGTAACAGGGAAATTCTAGAGCTTTGTCTATGAGGACAAGCCTAGTGTTAGTTGTGCTGCCTGAGGTTAGGGAACAGGTGGTAGAGAGAGTCCCTTACCATCAAGGTTGACATTAAACTGGGTTGCACTGAGTCTTATGCTGCAGGACCCTATACATTCACAGGAGGGCAGGTATACCCCAGGGCCCAC